TGGATAGTACTAATTCCGTATCTATATAAATGTTTTTAATTCTTTTATTTATGCTTATGAGTTAAAAGTGTAACTCCAGAAATCAATAACGATATCCATATGCAAAATAATACCCTGGAATTAGATAATCGGTTTTGTTGAGCTTATGACAAACTTGCAACGACAAAGAGTTCTTGGCCTTCTATGATGCGTAAATATTGTAAATTTATTACCGGTACATAAGATTTCTTCTATCTTGTATCTGTTCTTGTGTTTTGTAATTATTTGTTACATAAAGTTTCTTGTACCGTAATATATTAAAAAATAAATGCTAAAATACCTTTATAATACAAAAAACAAGCACCTAAATGTAAACAAATAAAAATTTGAATTAAAAAATTAGAACAAAAGGTTTCTTTTCCCTGAAAGTTTGGGCCAAAAACGTGGGTGTGCATTATACACGGGAGCGCATTATATACACGGCAAAATATGGTAGACTATTCTGTAAGCAGGAGGGAGCCACGAAATATCTTTGAGTAAGGAGGTAACAATGTGATTTGTGTAACATTCACTGTGCTCTGAATGGATGGCTTAGACTTACAGGGAGATGAAATAGGTACAGGTAGTAAGCAATAGCATCAGTCTAGGTCAGAGATGGTAAGAGTATGCACTGAGATGGTAGGAATGGAAAAAGAAAGGAGGAGATGGATTCAAGACAGGATAGAAGCAGTAAAATTTTTACCAGTTTAAAATGGGAAGTGAGAGGAAGAAAGGAAAGATGACTCCAGTGCTCCTAGTAACTAGATGGCAATGCCCTTAATGACCACGGGAACCTCACGGGAAGAGCAGGTTTGATTTTGGAACATGGTGAGTTTGAGGTGTTTCTTTCCAGGCAAGTATTAGAAGTTCGTGTCAGGAGCTTAAGGTTTGGCACCAGGGTCAGAGAGATAAATCTGGAGAATTATCACCAAACAAATGATAGTGGAAGCTGTGGGACCAGAAGAGTTAGGCCTTAGAAAATGTAGCTGCCGGGAGACAGTCAAAATCAGCATATGCCTAACTGGAAAATACCTTCTATAGAAGGTAGAAAGAAAAGCAAATACAAAAGGAGACAGCGTTATCAATGTGTAAAACTAGGAGAGGGAGGAACGTTTGAGAGAGTGGGGAGGTGCTCAGCGTTTTCAGATGCTGTGACCACTGGTCGGTCTGGGGCAAGAGGGAGTTCTAACCCGTCACACATACCAGGTGTTCAGACAGATATTTACACACAGAAAAGTATTTATAAGTCAGCCGCTCGCTGTCCTTTGGCCTGTCACCCTTGCTCCTTGTCTTATTGTGTATTCCTCCCCAAACCTCACCCCTCCCATCTCCCATCTACTCCCACTTTAAAAAGCGGGAGGCGGAGAAAAGAATGGGGAAGCAGCACAAGGGAGGTCGAAGTTAAAATGTAACCATTCTTTGTTCAGTTTGTAAATACGTTGCATATTCTTTATTTTGAATAAGCCACCTTAAAAATAATACTGTCACTTTGACTAATTTCTTAAGTCAGTGTGTCTCTAGTGGTCATAAATGTGTAAGAAGTAAAAATAATATGAAAATTTGGGGTCCATTTGAGTAGGGTTACATGTGTTTATGATTCTGATGTGGTCTTAACATCAGTCATCATCCGAATTAAATTTTCTTCTTAAAGGAACAAGTACCACTCGCCTCACTCAGCCTAGGTTTTTATGCTGATTTTGCTGACAAACCAATCATGTTTACTTTTAGTTAACCGGGTGTCTTTTGTATTCCAGCTCATCTATATCTCTATTTCACTATTATTTTAAGTCCAAGTGGCTGGTTATATAATTTCTAAATGTTCTCTTTTCACGTTGGATATTTAAACTTGATGACTCAGAACCTTTCTCCTGGTAACTAGAAACTAGTATTTGCTGGATTAAGGTAACGTGAGTTATGTTCATTTGCCTTTCTAGATTTTGGCTTCAGTAACCTTTTCACTCCTGGGCAGCTGCTGAAGACCTGGTGTGGCAGCCCTCCCTACGCTGCACCTGAACTCTTTGAAGGAAAGGAATATGATGGGCCCAAAGTGGACATCTGGGTATGTAACTGCCTCCTCTTGTGCCCCCGAGCGGTAGTTACCCTTGATTGATGACTCTGTCCTCATCCTGGATGGCACAGAATGCTGGATATGAATTAGAACCTTGCTCACCTGTTCTTTGAATTCCCAATTCTTTGTATAAAGTCTTTCCCCCAGCACTTGTCTTACGGATTGAGCCACAGATTTCCAAATCCCCCTTTGAATCTGTAAAAAACAACAACAACAACAACAAAAAAACAAGGGCAAGCTTGGATGGGTGCCCTTGTCAAGAACAGAGATTCTTTCTGTTGTTGCCACTGCCTTCTTCCTAGAGGATGAGTACTGAGAGAAATTCTAGATATGTTACCCAAAATTAACGTCTGGGAGCAAAGAAGAATGTTAACTATTCTAAAGATGGTTGGCCTTGACAATGCCCCATATTATTCTTCTTAAAAAAAAGAGGAAAAGTTTATACCATTATCTTGTGCATGACTCACATCATCCTCAGACACATACTACAATGGCCCCTTTTGTTTCCTCTGCTGCGATTAATTGTATGTCCTCTCTGTTTGGGATGCAGAGCCTTGGAGTCGTCCTCTATGTGCTCGTGTGTGGTGCCCTGCCATTTGATGGGAGCACACTGCAGAATCTGCGGGCACGGGTGTTGAGTGGAAAGTTCCGCATCCCATTTTTTATGTCCACAGGTAAGGGAGTCGCCAGCACACAGCTGTGAATGTGTTCATGAAAAGTGAGATGTGTTAAGTTGTCCTAGGAATTGAGTTGATGGGGTATAAATGGCCCATTTAACAACCTTTCATAGTTCAGTTTTCTGAATTGGTACCTCCGGAGGCAAGGTTCTATAGAAACAGTGTGCAGGCTTTAGCATCAGATAGCCCTGCTGAGTTTATCTGAGTTTGGCTCTGGACTCTGCACATGGCAACTCATATTGCATGACAGATTATAAGTCTGTCTGAGCTTTAGTTTCTTCATCTATAAATGGCTAACAGTTTTGTGAGGGCTTTTACTATGAGGACCAAATTAAATAGTGTAAGTAAAGAGTCAATAGGCCCATCACATGGTAGCAAGGCAATAAATATTCCTATTTCACCCCTGTCCTTCAGCCCCTCCCACGCCCCCTTTTAGGATATTTCCATTTATTGGGGCCCCGCTGAAATGTAATAAATGCCAAGGATAAAGCCAGTTTTGCACCTTAGTCTTGCTGCTACTACATATTCTACTTCTATGACATTTATTCCCCAGACACAAATTTTTTTTTAAAGATTTTATTGGGGAATTGGGGAAGCGTAACAGTGTTGGGGAATTGGGGAAAGGGGAACAGCCAAGTTGTTGTCCTTCAGTCCTAGTTGTGGAGGACACAGCTAGCTCAGCTCCAAGTGCAGTCGCCATCTGGCCGCCCATTGGCAGCTCCCAGGCACTCATCTCAAGGTGCCATGTTCAATCTTAGTTGCGGGTGGGCATAGCCCACTATCCCATGTGGAAGTCGACCGGCAACCTTGTTGTTAGGAGCATGTGCTCTCACCAGCTGAGCCATCCTGCCACCTGTTGGAAACAGTGTCAGCTCAGCTTGGGCGCAGCTCACTGGCCCATGTGGGAATCAAACTGGTGACCCTGTTGCTCAGAGCCCATGCTGTTAACCAACTGAGCCACTTGGTTGGCCCCTAAAAAAGTATTTTTTAAATGAGTGGTTAGTAGGATAAGTAGCTCTTGGAAAGAATTAACACTGCAAACAGATCCCAGATATCCAGAATCTACAGTGTTTTATCACCATTTATTGGGTCGTCGGGAAAGTCATGACGCAGTTTTGCATGAAAAACAGAAAAATACACCATGACTTTCCTGACGACCCAATATATGCACATAAAAAGAACATTTTAGAGACAGTGTAGTAAACAATCTATTTAGTTTTGCTTAATCATATTTTAATTTTAATGAATAACAAAGCGTATATCCACTTGGGTGGGCAACAAAGCATAGGCACATGGGAATTGTGTTCTAGAATAAATAAAGTCTTCTTAGAATTAATTACTTAATATCAGCTAGTGATAACTGCTGTGAGAGAAATAAGTAGGGAAGGAGGTTTAGGGATGGTGGGTGGGAGGTTATTTTAAAAAGTCTGATCAGGGAACCCCTTCACTGAAAAAGCGGCATTTCAGCAAAGACTTAAAGAAGGTGAGGGAGTGAGTTTTGCAGTTTGGGGACGGGCTTTGCCGGCAGAGGGAACTTGCTTGAGTGTTTAAGGAAACGGATGGAGGCTCCAGAAAGGAGTGAGGAACAGGGACAGGACAGATGAGGTAAGAGAGGCAAGGGAGAGCTTAGTTTGAGGACTTAGCTTAGTCAGTCAATGGAAAGATCTGAGTTTTTTCTCAGAGTGAAATGCAAAGGATCAGAGCATAGAGACAAATGAATGACATAATCTGACTTTTATGGGGGTTTTTTTCTGACTTTTATTAATGAAATTTTTCAAACATACAATTGAAGAATTTTGTGGTGACTTTTGGTTTTAAAAATAAATCACTTTGGCTCCTGTGTTGCTTGAAAAGTTCAAGGGCTGAAGGAGGGAGACCTATAGTTAGTAGCAGATGTTTGCAGTAATCCAGATGAGAGAGATTTGTAGCTAGTTCCCGTACTGGGGTGTAGATGGGAAAAGGTGGTCAGATTCAAGAGATACTATGTACTGTGTGGCAGACAATGTACAAAGCATTTAACAAACATTAACTCATTTAATTATTCTAACAGCCCTGTGAGATACTTAAGAATATCACTCCTATTTTTACAGGTGATAAAACTGAAGCCAGGAGATATTTAGCAATTTTCCCAAGATAACACAGCTAGAGTGGCGAAACTAGAATTTGAACCTAGGCAGGCTACCTTCACCAACATTTATGTTGGATTTGTTGTGAGGGAAAGAGTAATTAAAGGTAACTCCAGGGTTTTGGGTTTGAGCAACTGGAAGGATGGATTTATTGCTAACTGAGATGGCAGTGGCTAGGGAAGAATACTTACATTTTGGAGAGATGTTTTAGATGTGTTAGCTTGAGGTGCCCATTAGACATCTAAGTTGAGCTATTGCGTAGGCAGTTGAATATAGGATTGTAACTTAGTTTAGAGTTATGGGCTAGAGATATACATTTGGGAATCATCAGGGTATAGATAATATTTAAAGCTATGAGATGGGGTCATTTTTTAGGCAGTGATTATAGAGAAGAGAAGACTTCCAAGGATTAACCTCTGGAACACAGTGATATTCAGAGGTCAGGAAGATGAAGCGGGGTCAGCATAGAAATGGCTCGTGAGGGAGGCCAGAGAATCTGCTGTCTTAGAAAACAAGTGAAGAAAGTATTTCAAGGAAGAGGGAATGAGGAACTGTGGGGAGTGTTGCTGGTAGGTCAAGTAAAGTGACTGAGAGCTGAATATTAGATTTAGATTTTGGAGATCATCGAGGATCTTGAACAGTTTTGGTGGAGGGGCAAGAGGAAAAACCTAATTCATGTGGGTACAACGGAAAAGGAATGGAAAGAGAATAGAGACAGGAAATAGACACAACTCTTTACAGTTTTACTATAAAAGTAAGCAGAGAGAGGGCCGGCCGAGTGGCGCTTTGGTTAGGAGTTGGCTTGGGACGCCAGCTCTGAGCAGCAGGGCCCCGGTTCGGATCCCACATGAGGGCCAGTGACACTGCCCTCTACAGCTAAGATGGTGAACAACAGCTCGACCTGGAGCTGGGCTGCCGTGAGTCGCCAGCGATGGCGTAGGCTGCTGTGTGGGGTTGGCTGACAGCTTGCGTGAGCCTCTGTGAGCGGCCATCCAATGGCTGGTGAGCGACTGCCTCACCTGGGAAGAGCGCAATGATGGTACCAACTTGGGCCAGTGAAGCGACGTCCTCCACAACTAGACTGAAGAGCAAAAGGACAGCAACTTGTCTGTTCCCCTTCCCCGATTCCCCAGCGCTGTTTCCCTCCCCCAATTCCCCAATCAAATCTTTAAAAAGGAAAAAAAAGTAAGCAGAGAATGGGTCCTGTAGATTGCTCTGGCCGGAGTTACCTGTGATCTTGTCATAGTCAACTGGATATCCTCAGTCTTAGCATAATGAATGCCCAGCTAGATTTAGCATTTCACCAGTCTCCTTACCTCCTTTTTTAAAAAATGAACTTTATTTTTTAGAGCAGTTTTAGGTTTACAGGAAAATTGAACAGAAAGTACAGAGTTCTCATATGCCCCCTGTCCACTGACACCCGTAGCCTCCCCTGCTTTCAATATTTGCACCAAAGTAGAACGTTTGTTACAGTCGATCACTACATTGACACTGCACTGATTATCATCCAAAGTCCATAGTGTACATTAGGGCTCCCTCAGCAGTGTCCATTCTATGAGTTTGGACAAATAATAATGACGTGTATCCACCATTATAGTATCATACAGAGCAGTTTCACTGCCCTAAAAATTCTCTATGCCTGTTCAGCCCTGCCTTCCCCTACCCTCTGGTAATCATTGACCCTTTTACTGGCTCCATATTTTAGCCTGTTCCGAAATGTAATGTAGTTGACTCATATAAGTATGTAGCCTTTTCACATTGGCTTCTTTTACTTGGTAATATCCATATAAGGTTTCTGTATGTCTTTTCATGACTTGATAGCTCATTTCTTTTTAATGAATAATATTCCATTGTCTGGTCGTACCACAGTTTATTCATCCAGTCACACACTGATGGACATCTTGGTTGCTTCCAAGTTTTGGCAATTATGAATAAAGCTTCTGTAAACATGCAGGTTTCTGTAATATGCAGGTTTTTGTGTGGACATAAGTTTTCAAATCATTTGATAAATACCAAAGAGTGTGATTACTGGGTTGTATGATAAGAGTATGTTTAGTTTTGTAAGAAACCACCAAACTGTCTTCCAAAGTAGCTGTACCATGTTGCACTCCCACCAGCAACGAGTGAGAGTTCCTGTTCCACATCCTCGCCAGTTTTTTATGTTATCAGTGCTTTCGATTTTTGCTATTTTAATAGGTGTGTAGTGGTATCTCATTATTTTATTTGTAATTCCCTAATGATGTATGATGATGATGAGAATTTTTTCATATGCACATTTACCATCTGTATACCTTCTTTGGTGATGTGTCTATCCAAGTGTTTTGCCCATTTTTTAATCGAATTGTTTGTTTTTTTATAGTTGAGTCACTCTTTACTTTTTGAAATACTTTTTTTCTCATTACTACACGGACACCACATTCCTCAGTTTTCCTCCTGTCTCTCTGGATACACCTTCTTAGTCTTCTCTACGAGGTTTCTCGGTTCATACTTTAAGTCTTTTCTTTTGAGCCATCTTACTTACTCTTACTGCCACGCCTTCAGAAATTGCTGTGATGTTCAGTCCCCAATTAAAGCTCCATTAACGCTCTGGCCCAGACCCCTCCTCCGGGATGAAAGGCTGTTATATCCAACCAGTTGCTGCTGACCAGCTTCACTTTCACGCCTTGAGTTCACATCAGTGGAAACATTTTCAAAGCTGAATTTACTCCCCCACCCCCCAAATTTGCTCTATACTTTGTTCCCTATCTTAGTGAATGATATCACCATGTGACCAAGGCTGAAACTAGCCTCGATTCCCCCTCCTCTCTCACTGTCTATAGCCTAGCACAGTGTCTGGCATGTGATAGGACTTAGTAAATAGTAAGTAGATAG